AGGGGCAGCGGGATGAGAATTCCCCCCCCATCCGCCCACCCAGGTAATCCCCTAATGCTGTTTGCAAACACAGGGAGATTTACACCTCTCCCAGCACGGCTTTGGCCAGGGATCGACGGGGAACACGTGGCACGGGCAGCGGCTCCTGTGTGACCCTGAGCCTCCTCCGTCCTGCTCCTCCCTGTGGGACACCGGGCACAAACCACGGGCACCGCCACCGGGGCCGGCTCTGCGGGGGGACCGGGGCCCTCCTGCCCGGGGAGGCGCTCCCACACTCGGCCAGGGGACAAAGTGAGACCCGGCGGCCCCGTTCACCTGGTGTGTCCGGTGCTGGAGGCCGCTCGGGGAGCAGAGGAAGGCCCTGCTGGCGGTTCCATCATCCTCCTCATGCCCGAGGGGCCGCCCCGAACAATCCGGCCCTGTTCTGGGATGAAGGGCGGTTGTGGCGCGGTTGTGGCGCTCGGAGCGCTCAGCGCGGCCGGGAGCGGCCCTGCGGAGCCGCCGGTGCCGGTGGCACCGTGCCCGGCCGGAGCACCGAGGGGCCGGGCGGAGGGAGCGCGGCGGGCGCCCGTCCCGGCTCCTGACAAAACAAGGAAGCCCTGACGGCGATTGCCCGGAAACCGCAGCGCGTCAGGAGCGAATGTTTCCATCGGGAGCGCTCGGCCCCGCAGCCCGGCCGGCGCCAGCCGCCCCACCGCACCGGCTGCCGGCCAGGGCAGCGCCCCCGGGCCGGGTCCCGCTGCCCACCCAGCCCCGGGGCTGCCGGGGGTCACGGCAGCGTTTGGGGCACCCAGGAGAGGTGGCAGCCGGCTCTGGCCCCGCGGATGTGGCTGTCGCTGCTGCGGTTCCGTGGGGGTCTGGGCGCTGTTCGAGCCGCTGTCACCCCTCCGGCTGCCCGGCCGGGAGTTTGAGCCTTAACAGGTCAAGGATTTTGGCAACCTTTGGAGACACTGGGGAGGTTCATCCGGAGGCGGGATTTATTGTGAAACTCTGTGCCTTGGCATTGGGGCAGATTTCCCACATCCCGGAGCGCTGGGACGTGCCCGAGTGCGCCAGCACCCGCGGAGGTGACACAGCCTCAGCTCCCAGCCTGGCACCAGCACGGCAGGGACACCCTTCCTCCTGGGACCAACGCATGGCAAGGGCTCTTTTTGGCCTCCCACCGCCCCGGCTGGCCCATGCGGGTCCCCCCCAGCCCATGCAGGAGCGGCTGCCCCTCCCCGCGGGCAGGAACAGACGGGGTCTGTCCCGACCTAAAGTCAATATTGGATTTTCCGGCGCGGCCGCAGGGACCCGGCAGCGGCCGAGCCTCTCCCCAGCGCGGCACAGAAGGGGCTTTGAGAGCCCCAGGGGCGAGCCCGGCCGGGGGGGCCGCGCTGCCGGCACCCCCTGCCCCCCCCGAACGCTGCCAGGGCAGGCAGGGCTGGTCCTGCCCAGCGAGTCTGGGCACGGCTCAGGAGTCGCTGCAGTTTCGGGCTCGGGGGCTCGGGTGGTGGCTTTGTGTGAGGTGTCACTGCTGGAGGGTGGGAGGAGCTGCCTCGTGCTTTCAAAGGGCGCTGCGGTCCCTTCCTGACCCCCCATCTTTAAGGGATGCCCAGGTCCATCCCTTCAGCACCCAGGAGAACTCTGCTCCCACAAAACCAGGGACGTTCAGAGCCCAAATCAGCCCAAACCGCTCCTAACCCTGCCCTGGCTTGGCTCCACACCTGGCAGGGGCCAGCAGCACCTCCTGGGTGCTCATAGGGGCAGAGGGGGCCACGCCTGACCCCTGCCCATCTCCCCCACCAGGTTTGACTACCAGGAGCTGCTGCACAACTCCACCTTCTGCATCGTGCCCCGGGGCAGGCGCCTGGGCTCCTTCCGCTTCCTCGAGGCTCTGCAGGTACAGGGTGGGCAGGGGGACTGGGGACCCCCTCACCGGAGTCTGGGGGCTCTGTCCCAGCCTGCGGGGTCCCTCCACAGGCTGCCTGCATCCCGGTGCTGCTGAGTGATGGCTGGGAGCTGCCCTTTGCCGAGGCCATCGACTGGGGCAAGGCTGCTGTCGTGGGCAGCGAGAGGCTCCTGCTGCAGGTACCGGGTCCAGATCCTGCCCCACCCAGCACCAGACCCCAATCCCAGTGGGGTGGAGCCCCCAGACAAGTCTGGGGATGAGTCCCTGGAAGCTGGGCCTGGCAGGGCTCCTGTGGGCAGTGCAGGAGGGTCTGAGCCAGCCTGGAATGGGGGTCCCAGCCCAATGCAGTCCCTGTGGGCAGTGCAGGAGGGTCTGAGCCAGCCTGGAATGGGGGTCCCAGCCCAGTGCAGTCCCAGGGCTCTGTTCATCTCGGGGGGAAGGTGGGAAGGATCAAACCCTTGGGAATCCTGGGCCCGATCCTGCTCCAGGGAGAGGAGATGCAGCCCCGCAGGAGGAGGGTGGCACCAGCCACAGCAGGGGCTGTCCCCTGGCATGCTTGGGGTGGTGAGGGGGGCAGAGGTGAGCAGCCCAGCCCCGAGGGGGGAGGCTGAGGTGAGGACCCCTCTGTCCCCCCGGCACAGATCCCCTCTGCCGTGCGCTGCATCCACCCCGAGCGCGTGCTGGCCTTCCAGCAGCAGACCCAGTTCCTGTGGGATGCCTACTTCTCCTCCGTGGACAAGATCGTGCACACCACACTGGAGGTGAGCCCCCCACCCCGAGCCCCCTGCCCGGTCACCGCCGGGGCGCTGGGAGCATCACCGGCGCCTCTGGCAGATCATCAAGGACCGCCTGAATCCGCACCGCTCCCGCTCCCGCCTGCTCTGGAACGCGCTGCCCGGGGGGCTCCTGGTGCTGCCCGAATTCTCCACCCACCTCGGGGATTTTCCCTTCTACTACCTGCACCACGGTAGGGCCCTGCCCGCCCCGCCTGAGCCCCGCAAACTCGGGCCGTGCCCAGCAGCTCTCCCGTCCCTTTCCCACCCCTTTTTCAGGCTACAGCCCCTCCAGGAAGTTCACGGCGTTCATCCGGGCGGTCTCGCAGGCAGGCTCGCTGTCCCAGCCCATCCTCAGGCTCATCCAAGCCGTGTCTGGATCCCAGTACTGCGCCCAGGTGGGAGGAGCAGAGACCCAGGGATCCGGGGGATGGTGGGGCTGGGTCCTGCGGGGACCAGGAGAGTGGATGGTGGGTCTAGGGGTGGAGGGGGTGGGTGGTGGTGTCACCTTTGGGTGGGCAGAGCTGTCTCCCAAGCCCTTTGGACCACCTGGGGGTTTATCCTGGTCCAAACTGCCACGAGATGGTTTTGGGGTGGTCTGAGCTGGAGCAGAGAACCCACCCAACCCCTCCGGCCGCGCCTGTCCTGCCCCTTGCAGATCGTGATCCTGTGGAGCTGCGAGAAGCCACCGCCCCCGAGCGGGAAATGGCCCCAGAGCAGCGTGCCCCTGACCATCATCCAGGGCAGGAGGAAGGTGAGGGCACCGGGGACACGGGCAGGGATTTGGGACACGGGCAGGGGGCTGGGACAGCCACCCCAGGGCACCATCCTGTCCTTCCTCCCCCCACAGCTCAGCGACCGCTTCTTCCCGTTCGCGGCCATCCAGACGGACGCGGTGCTGAGCCTGGACGAGGACACCACCCTCTCCACCAGCGAGGTGAGGCCGCGGCCCCGGCTCCCTGTGGCTGTCCCCAGGTCCCCTTGTCCTCCAGGGGCAGCGCGGTGCCCTGCCGCAGTCCCCGCGGTGGGTGACACCGCGCCCCTGCCGTGCCCCTCCCGTGCCAGGTGGATTTTGCCTTCTCGGTGTGGCTCAGCTTCCCCGAGCGCATCGTGGGCTTCCCCACGCAGAGCCACTTCTGGGACGCCGAGCGGGGCCGCTGGGGCTACACCTCCAAATGGACCAACGAGCTCTCCATGGTGCTCACCGCCGCCGCCTTCTACCACCGGTACCGGGCCCGGAGGGGCTGCGGGGGCCGGGCCGGGGGCTCAGCCACCCCCTGCCCCTCACCCGTTCTCCCCCTCCAGGTACTACCACAGCCTCTTCACCGAGTACCTGCCCGCGGGGCTGCGGGAGCTGGTGGACGGGCTGGCGGCCTGCGAGGACATCCTGATGAACGTGCTGGTGGCCGCTGTCACCAAGCTGCCGCCCATCAAGGTGACGCAGCGCAAGCAGCACAAGGAGGGGGTGGCCCGGCAGGCGGAGTGCGGCGAGGGGGCTGCGGGGACCCCCTCGGGCCCGCACCCCGCTCCTGCCGGGCCGGGGGGCACCACGGCCGGCGGCCGGCGCCTCTCCCAGCGCCAGGACTGCCTGGACCAGCTGGCGAACTGGTTTGGCTACATGCCCCTGGTGTCCTCCCGGCTGCGCCTCGACCCCGTCCTCTTCAAGGACCAGGTCTCGGTGCTGCGCAAGAAATACCCGAGCCTGGAGAAGCCGTGAGGGCGGCCGGGGTCGGGCCGGGCGCCGGGGGCGCCGCTCCCGGTGCGCGGAGCCCTCCGGGGGCAGGATCGCTGCTGCTGACGGGGTTTTACTCGTTATTGGCTTTTACCAGTGCAATAAAGGAGGGGCGAGAGGCAGGATCCGGATGGTGGAATGGAGGAAAGGCTGTGGAATTTGGGGGGCACCAGGTTTCGGGTGCTGCAACACTTCTGCCATCGGCATCCTGGGAATAACCCGGGCAGCACCCCCAGCCCTGCGGGGAGGGAGGGAGAGTCCTTCACCTCCCCGAGGGCAAACAGAGGAGCGATAAGAGCCGTGTGTGACCTCCCTGCCTGGCTCCAGCTGCGTCCCCCGCAGTCCCTGGGCAGCCCAGCACCCCCCATCGCCTCGCAGCACTCCCCAGAAAAGGGAGAAAGGGTGTTTCAGCTGGCTTTCCTCCCAGCCGGACGGAAATACGGAATATTATGCGGCCTCCAACAGGCACCGTCGGGCTGCCGCAGCCCTGGGTGTGTCCTTGGCTCCTGCAGATAGCGGAGATAAAGCCAGAGCCAGCATCCCCCCGCACAGCCCCGTGCGCTCCGCTTTATTTGCCGCACATGGGAAGTCCCGGGGGCGGCACTCAGTCGCGGGGGGGCTGGCACTCCCGGCAGTCCCGCATCTCCTCGGAGTAGCTCTCCACCTGGATGGTGGTGCTGTGGAAGCGGAAGGCGCCCTGCAGCCGGGAGCTCGCCTCCTCCAGCACCTCCTGCGCGCTGGCGGCCGCGTCTGCAGGGGGGAAAGGCGGGGATATGGGGGTGCGGGGAACCCCGACCCTCCCTGCCCATTGTCGCACTCACTGACGGCCCTGGCAGCCCTGTCCCCTGTGCTGTGGCACTCACTGGTGGCCCTGTCCCCCTTGTCCCCCTCCATGGCACTCACTGATGGCGATGTGCACAGACAGCAGCGGCTGTGCTGCGGTCAGAGCCCAGATGTGCAGGCTGTGCACGGCCTCCACGCCCCGCACGGCCAGCAGCGTGTCCCGCACGGCATTGAAATCCATCCCCTTGGGCGTCCCTGGGGGCAGAGCCAGGCGGCTGCAGGGACGGGGCCCAGGGCACCCCCGGGCGCCCCCGTCCCCATGCCGGGGGTCCCTACCCTCCATGAGGACCAGCAGGACGTCCCGGAGGATGGTCAGCGTTGTGCCCAGCACCAGCGCCGAGAACAGGAAGGTGCAGATGGGATCCACGTACTTGTACTCGGGCTGGGGAGGGGTGACAGGGGTGAGACCCCCGTGGCACCATCACTGCACCCCAAACCCCCATCGGGACCAGCAGGGCGGGCACCCCAAACCCCCATGGGCCCCAGCACCCTGTTCACCCTCAGATCCCCCTTATCCCCCAGACCCCATTTTCCCCCAGCACCCCATTTCCCCCCAGCACCCCCTTTGCCCCCAGCACCCCCTTTGCCCCCAGTCCCCCCAGACCTTGAAGAAGATGATGTAGGAGGCGATGAGCACGCCGAGGCTCTGCAGCAGGTCCCCCAGGACGTGCACGAAGGCGGCGCGGACGCTGGCGTTGGGCTGCTCACCGCCCGCCCCGTGGCTGTGCCCGTGCCCCGTCTGGTGCAGAGCCAGCCCCATCCTGCGGGCAGGGCACTGGTGACACCCCGGGGCCAGCAGGCTCGGGGAGGGGACACCCGGGGCCGTGTGGCAGCACCTACACGATGTTGACGGCCACGGCGCAGGCGGAGGTGATGAGCATGACCCCGCCCTCGATGTCGTAGTCACCCGAGAGCAGGCGCTGCGCCCCCAGGTACACCAGGACCCCCGTCACCACCCAGATGGAGAGCACGGAGAGCAGAGCCCCCAGGATCTCTGCGGAGAGACCCCGCCATGGCTGCCTCACTGCCGTGCCACCCCCAGCACCATCCCCGGCATTGCTGGGCACAGTGTGGGCACCCAGCACCCATCCCCGGCATTGCTGGGCACAGTGTGGGCACCCAGCACCCATCCCCGGCATTGCTGGGCACGGTGTGGGCACCCAGCACCATCTCTGGCAGTGCTGGGCACGGTGTGGGCACCCAGCACCATCTCTGGCATTGCTGGGCACGGTGTGGGCACCCAGCACCATCCCCGGCATTGCTGGGCACGGTGTGGGCACCCAGCACCATCCCTGGGATGCTCCTTGCACAGGGCTGGCAGCGCCTCTGCCTTGCCTTGCTCACGGTGCCAGAACTTCGCCAGGGCTCCCCAGGCCCCTCAGGGCCCCCCAGAGCCCCTGTTCCACGCGGGGAGGGCACCCTGGGGTGCTCCCCTGGCACCCCCGGGGCGGTGCCACCGCGTTACCTGCCCGGTGCCAGCCGAAGTTCATGGTTTTGGTGGGGGGCCGTGAGGACACCCAGAGGGCAAAGAGGCTGATCATGATGCTGGCAAAGTCCGTCAGCAGGTGGGCAGCGTCCGTCAGGATGGCCAGGCTGTGTGCCAGGTACCCACCTGCAGGGACATCGGGGGGACATCGGGGGGACATGGCAGGGTCCTGCCCCGAGCTGGGTGCAGCTCAGCTCTCACCGAGCCACAGGCGGGTCCCGCCGGGCGTTCTGAGCCACAGAAAGGCAGCAGGAGCTCTGGGCACTCCCTCAGCGGGGAACCAGGACAAGGGGGCTCTGGGGTGACCCCACGGAGCCGGCACCCCGCACTCACCCACGGCCTCCCCCACCATGAAGAAGAGGCAGATGCCGGCGGCCAGGTAGAGCTTCCTCCGTGCCCGCTGCTGCTGCCCGGGATGGCTGCCAGCCCCCCGCGTGTGGCAGTGCTGCCCACGCCGCGGCCCCAGCTCCAGGGCGGGCTCCTGTCCGTGCGCCGCGCTCTGTCCGTCCTTGCCCACGTAGCACCTGCGGGCCAAGCGTGGGGCTGGGGGGCTTCGGGTGCCCCCCGAGCGCTCCCCCCAGCCCGTTCCCCCCCAAGCCCCGCTCGGGAGCCGCAGGGCAGAGGGGGCTCGGCACCCCCAGCCCCCCGGGCACCCCCGTACCCGCCGCTGCCCTCGCTCAGCAGGTGCCGCTTCTCGTCGCCGGCCGCCATCCTCCTCCTCCTCCTCCTCCTCCTCCTCCTCCTGCTGCGGCCCGGGGGCTCGGCGCGGTGACCCCGGCGTGCGGCCGGCGCTGGTGGCAGCCGGTGGCCTTGGCTCGTGTGAAGAGCCGGGATTCGTGTGCAAATCCCGGCTGGAGGAGGGACGGCCAGGCCGGCTGCAAAGCGCCCGCGGGGCCTGCCCCGGGCTGGGCCCCTCTCCCGGGGGGCTGTGCTGCTGCTGGGGTGGGGGACAGATCTGGGACCCCCCCCGAGCGTCCTCGGGAGCCGCACAGAGCCGGGCTGGGTGCGGAGGGGGATGGAACCTATGGAATATCCCCATGTCCCCTCCGAAGCACACGGCGAGCCCCCCTCCCCGCTTTGGAACCCCCCCAGTTTGGATCCAGCCGTGTGATGGATAAACCTGGACACCCCCGCTCCACAGCAGGGGCTCCTGGCTGAGCAGCGTTAATTACCCTGTGGTAATTGCACTCTTAATTACCCTGCGGTAATTGCGCTCGGGGCTCAGCTCTGGGTGCTGCCTTGGTTTCCCCTCTGAGCAGGACTCATGTTTTTGCAGGAGAAAAGCCTTTACGGGGTGCTTTTGCATTTAGGATGCACATCAGATTTGTGGTGTATTTTTTCACCCAAGGTGCATTTCTGAGCTCAGTCGATGCATTTCACCCCAGGTGCATTTCTCAGCAGCAAACCAGCAGCTCGATGCCCACACCATCCCCATTTCGGGGGCTGGCCCAGCCTGGAGCATCCTCAGCCCCGCCGTGCCCCATCTCCAGCCCAGGACAAGCCCTGGACAGGACACCCCATCCCCAGGAGATAAATCCTGCCGGGTGCCGACCTGTTACATCCCGGGCGGGCGGCCAGGAGCGGCTGCCAGCGCTGCCAGAGGCGCTAATGGGGCTGGAAATGAAGAGCCGGGCCGGAGGTGTCCCCGTGCCACGCCGGGCGCCGGCAGGGACGCCGCTGATGGCACCAGCCCGGCAAAGCCACCCCCGGTGCCCACGGCGGGGCCGGCGAGCCGAGAGCGAGAGGCGAGGAAGGAAAGAACCACCCGAGGCAGCGGTTTTCTTTACAAAATACAGGAATTTCAAATGCGTGACAATTATATACAAAACAAGGGAATTACAAAACGTGCGGAATTGTCCTGTTTGCACCCGTATAGAAAAGTGTCCTGTGCTGGGGCAGGCGCCGGCTCGCCAGGCTGCCGGGCCCTGCCCTGTGTCCCCCCCATCCCCAAGGCGTCGCCGGACATCCCGTGCCCGGGGGCGTTTCCAACGTTGCTGTGGCTACAGGGAAGCTGCCGAGGGAGAGGAGAGGGTGATGAAGGAGAGCCCAAGCCCCCAGAGCTCCCCCGTGGGCGCTGGAGGCTCCTGGGGAGGTGGGCTCAGCCCCTTACCCATCACTGTCCTCTCGGGCGCTGCGTTCTCTTCCACCTCTTCTTCCTCCTCCCCATCAAAGTACTCCTCATCTTCCTCTGCTGCAAACAAGCGGCCAGAGGTCACCAGGAGGCACCAGGAGGAGCAGAGGGTGGTGTCACCAGCTGGGTGGGGGTCGGTGAGGGGGAGCTGGGGGCTGAATTACCGGGCTCGAAGTCCAGGGCGTGCACGGCCTCAGTGAGGTGCTCCAGGCTCACCGAGAAGGCGTCCATGCTCTCATAGCCCTGCTCGATCTTGTCCAGGCGGGCGCCCTTGGAGGCCTCCACGATCCTGGGCAGGGAGAGCACGGATGTGTGCGTGTGTCCCTGTCCCCTCCCGAGCTGGGGGCCGTGGGGCAGCCCCCACTCCCCGAATCCTGCCCGTGGGGCTTGGATTGAGGGGATTCCTCCAGTCTGAGCAACTTACGTTTTTATGAGCTGCTTGGCGTTCTGTGGAGAAAGAGAAGGGGAAGGAGGAGGAGGAGGAGAAGAGGAAGAAGGAGGTGAGTGAAGCCACAGCAGCCTCCAGGTTGTCCCCAGCAGTGGGACCCCACGGGGCGGGTCTGGGGGTCTCACCATGAGGAAGGCGGCGCCCCCGGTCTCCTCGGCTGCCTGGATGGCCGTCTCCACCAGCCGGCTGGACTTCTCCAGCTGCTCCTTGTACTGGCAGATGAGGCTCTGGATGAAGGCGGTCTTGTCCGCCTGCTCCCGGCAGATGCGCTGCAGCAGCTCCGCCTTCTTCTCCTCCAGCAGCGCCGCCAGCGCGTCAAAGCGAGCGCAGAGCTCCCTCTTGGCCGCCTCGCTGTTCTCCTGCGGGGACAAGGGACGAGGGATGGCACCCGTGAGTCCCTCCGGCGCCCGCAGCATCCCTGCTCCATGGGCTCCACCCCGTGCCCTGTTAAGGTTTCACCCCCGGGTTTTTGGGGGTTCCTTTCCCCCTTTGCTCACCTCGGTGCTCTGGCAGGAGTCCTCCAGCTGGGAGATGATGGTCTGGATGCGGTCGTTGCCCGCCACCAGCATGGAGATGCAGTTGTTCAGCTCAGTCTGGTGAGTGACAGAGAGAAGTTTTAACTCCTGTGGGGACAGGAACCTCTCCCATCCCAGCCTGGGGACGGGCTGGGCACTGCTCATCCCAGCTCTGCTCCCCCACACCCCTCACCAGCCACGGCTGCTCTAAATACTCTAAATATAGCCTGTCTCCTGGGCGAAGCCGCCCGGGGGCTATTAATACCCCATGAGCCATCCCCGCAGTTATTTGTCACTGTCCCAGCTCAGCACATGGCCCTGAGCCCCCCCGGGTGCCCCCCCAGGGCACCTTCTGTCCCTGGAAGACGCTTTCCAGAGGGGCCACCTCGCAGTCCTTGTGGGCACCGAAGACCTTGCACATGGAGCAGGTGGGGACCTCGCAGGTGACGCAGTAGATGTTGATCCGCTCGTCCTCGTGCTCCTTGCACATGGGGTGCTCCCCCTTCTTCAGGGGCCTGCTGGAGAGGGTGGCACGGCCACGGTGACGTCCCCACCACGGTGACATCCACAGCAGGGCGATGTCCCCGTCATGGTGACAGCCACACCAGGGTGACAGCCACACCAGGGCGATGTCCCCATCATGGTGACATCCACACCAGGGCAACAGCCACAGCAGGGCGATGTCCCCGTCATGGTGACATCCACACCAGGGTGATGTCCCCGTTATGGTGACAGCCACACCAGGGTGATGTCCCCGTTATGGTGACATCCACACCAGGGTGATGTCCCCACCAGGGTGATGTCCCCACCACGGTGACGTCCACACCAGGGTGATGTTCCCCCTACAGGGACACCCCTGCCACCACGGTGTCCCCACTTCAGCCTCACCCCCACTGTGGTGACACCCCCTCTGCCACCCCAAAATCAGGTCCCCAGGAAAGAGGGGACCTGGCACAATCCCACAGCTGCTCCTCTGGAGCCACCAGCCCCTGTGTCCCTGCACACCCCAGTGTGTCCCAGTTTAGGGCACCACGGCAGGGGTGGCACTGGGGACGGGGGGGCTGCGATCCAGAGGCGCTGCACCAGTGCTAATTTTAGCCCTGTGCTGCCCGGATTTATTGTCACCCATCGTGTGACCGGGGTGGGGACACCCAGAAAGCCCCGGGGGCTCCCAGACGGGGGCTGCAGCTCAATTGTCCCGTCGGCAGTGAGGAGGGACATGGGGACAAGGCAGAGCTCTGACACACGGACAGGCCCGCGCCCCCCGGCCCCCCTGGCAGCCACGGACACCTGCCACGTGCCATCGTCCCCGTCCCCATGGCTCTCACACAATATTTACAGTGGTCCAGGGGATTTGGCCGCTCTGCCTCGAGAGCCTGTGACCCCTCTGTCCCCTCCCAGCTCCATCCTGGTCCCCACTGGGCCCCCCCAAGCTGTCCCTGTGCCCCTTATCAGCCCCGGTGCCTGCTGTCACAGCAGAGCCTGCATTCCTTCCCCACACCTCTTATCTGCCACCGAATGTTCCAGCAGGAGCACCGGGGACAGCAGGAGGTGCCACCACCCCCAGGGACCTGCCATCCCCCTGGGACGGCCAGAGGCACAAACTGCTGGGCAGAACTGGGTTGGGGGAGGAAGTTTTGGGTCCAGGGAAGAAGATTTTGATCGAGGGAGGGAGATTTGAGTCAGGAAAAGATTTGAACTGGGGATGACTGAGCAGAAAGGCCCCCAGTGCGATCCCTTGGGGTCTCAGTGCTGCTGCTGGGGCATGGGAGGGCCATGCCCGTGTCCCCATAACCCTGGCGCCCACCTGGAGCACTCCTGCTTGTAGATGTCGATGATGTTCTCCACCAGCAGGTTCCTCTGCAGCCCGTAGACGCCGTGGCGGTCCAGCAGCACCTCGTGGCGGCACGAGGGGCACCGGAACCGGCCCCCCGAGATCAAACTGCCCCGGCTCTGCCAGTACGGGTTGGCGGCCTGCGAGGGGGACGTGAACACGGGCAGGGTCCCTCGGTGTCCCCACAACAGCCCGGGGTCCCCAGGCCGGGCACAGGGACCCACCCCGCTCACCTGGAAGACGTCGTTGGCGCACTTGCGGCAGAGGTTGTGCTGGCAGGGCAGGATCACCACGGGCTTGCTGAACATCTCCAGGCAGATGGGGCAGATGAGCTGCTTCTCCAGGCTCTCCATGGGGCTGCCATCCTGCAGGATACCGGCTTGGAAGTCCATGGGCTCGGCCGTGCTCTCCTCGCAGCGCTCGCTCTCGCTGCCGGCGCCCCCCGCCCCGCTATTTATCGGTATCCCGGTGTCACGCGGCTCCCGCCGCCGCCGCGGTGTCGGGTGTCCCGGACAGCACCTGACACCCGTTCCGGGCCGGGAAGGGCCGGTAAACAAGATGGGCACAGCCTGTCCAGGAGGCGCTGCCCGCCCGTGCCGCGGACGTGCCCGGGCTGGAGCCGCTGCGGGGTAAACAGGGCCAGGCGCTGCCCCAAACGGGACCCCAAAACATCGCCCTGGGGACAAGGGGGGGCACGCACCAGCCCCGGCGGCATTAGGGCGGGGTGGTGGTTCCAGAAATCTGTCAGAGCTGGCCCAGCTGCGGCAGGGGGTGCTTTGTACACTTTGTCCCTTTCCCCACCCAAAACATGACCAACACGGGGTGCCAACAGCTCGCCGTGGCTCCCTGAGTGCCAGCAGGGGAGAGCAGCTCTGGGGACACACAGCCCCCGAGGCTGGCACAGACACAGGGTGCCCCCTCCCCAGGCAGGGCTGGGGGCTCCTCGATGAGCCCAGGCCCAGTGGGGGCTGCTCAGCTGCTCCCCAGAGCCCTGGCACAGCCCTGGCACAGCCCTGGCACTGCCCTGGCACTGCCCTGGCACTGCCATGACCCAGCTGGCCTCGCTGCTGGGGGCTCAAGAGCTGACCCAGAAACGGCTGTGGGGGCAAAGGGTGAGCAGAGCCCTGGACACGGTGCCAGCCGGCTGGGCAGGGGCCAGGGCTGGCCCCAGGGAGAGCTGGCAGCTGCACTGCCCAGGGTAACCCTACCCCTGGCACAGGGGGCACCAGGGGGGACAGCGTGGGGCAGGGTGAGCACAGTGACTGCGGGCAGGAGATGGTACAGGGTGCAGGGGGTGCCTGGGGGCACAGGTATGGGGTGCAGAGGGCACCTGGGGGCACAGGTATGGGGTGCAGGGGGTACCTGGGGGCACAGGTATGGGGTGCAGGGAATACCCCAGAGCACAGATATGGGGTGCAGGGGATACCCCAGTGCACAGGTACGGGGTGCAGGGGTGTACAGGTGAGCTCTGTGAGCACACAGGTGTGCAGGGATGCACCAGTACATGGATAAATGGATCTACAGGTACCCAGATGTGTGACACACGGGCACCTGGGTGCTCAGGCACAGAGTGTTGGGATGCACTGAGCCCTGCTGTCCTCACCCAGGGCAGCCTCTCAGCTGTTTTGGGGTGCACTGACCCCCCCTGTTCCCTCCAGGGCAGTCCCTCAGCTGTTTCGGGCTCCTTCCTCCCTGGCTCACGTGTGCAGTGAGTGACTGTGCCCAGACCTGCCAGGCACATCTTGCAAAATCGTTCCCGTTCGGGCACTTGGGGCTCTGCCAGCGAGGCCCTGGCAGCAAACGGGGCTGGCTGGGCAGCCAGGAGGGCAGTGCTGGGCTCAGACCCTGCCCGGACCCAGACGTGACCCGGCCCTGCCCGGGTGACATTGATTAATTAATTGCTTCTGGACTCGGTTAAGGGGATTCACAGGAACGGAAGGGGTGTAATGCCCTAAGCAGCTTTCCCAACCCACAAGGGGCTCGTTGGGCCCTAATTGGCTTGGGACAGCTTAGGCAGGACCCAGGACATTAATCACCCCGGGATCCTTCCCAATTAACCCTGCAGAGCCCACTACAGGGATGGATCTCCCTCTGCTTGGCTTCGCAGGGCTCTGAGCACTGGGTGGCCCTGGCTTCTCCCAGAAATGCCCTGGGGCGGCTTTGCAATGGTTGGGGAGACAGCAGGGCCTGTGACAGGGCTCCCGGGCATGGGGGGCACTTCCAGCCCTGCAGCCTGAGGAGGAAAGGGAGCCATGGCACAGAACAGGGAACAGAGAGCGGCGACAGCTCTTGTGTCACTGTCACACCAAGCCAGAGCACAACCAAGGGCCAGAGGGGCTGTACTGATTTTTTTGGACGCCAAGCAGTAAACCATAGAGTCCCAGATCTGTTTGTTTTGGAAGGATCTCAGAGCCCATCCAGTGCCACCCTGCCATGGCAGGGACACCTCAAACTGTCCCGGGCTGCTCCCAGCCTGTCCAGCCTGGCCTTGGGCACTGCCAGGGATCCAGGGGCAGCCACAGCTGCTCTGGGCACCCTGTGCCAGGGCCTGCCCATCCTCACAGGCAACAATTCCCTCCTAATTAATAAACAGAAATTTCAGTAATTAATTCATTAATTCATGTAATTAAACATGACCCACCGCGCTCGCCCCGCCCCCTCAGCTGACCAATCACAGGGCGGTGTGCACGGAGTGGGCGTGACCACTCGGTGGGCGTGGCGCTGTGGGCGTGGCCTCGTTGAGAGAGGCGGGGGGGCGGAGCGCAGCCCTAAGATGGCGGCCGGGCGGCGGCGGCGGCGGCGCTGAGGTAACGCGGCTTCACCGGCCCGGCTCGGCCCGGTGCCGGCCCCTCGTCCTCGCGGGCCCCCGGGGGTTGGAGCGGGCGGGATCCGCGCTGCAGGTTGGGCGGGAGGGGCCCAGCGGGCAGGCATCATCCCCCGCCGTGGGGCGAGCGGTGCGCCGGTGCTTCCCTTCACAGGTGGGGGCCCGGTGCGGCCGCGCCGAGCGGGAGGGGTGCATTTATATTACCTATATTAATTCTCTATATCCTCTATATATTTATTCTATAATCGCCGCCGTTAACGCGGCGGGCGGCGCTGCCCGGCCCGGTGTCCGCTCTGCCGGGCCGGCCCCGGGGCCCCGCAGCACCGCGGGCCGGAGCGGGGCCGGGGGCGGCCCCGGGGCTCGGGAACAACTCCCGGTACAGGGGACAGTTTGTGCCCGCTCGGAACCCGCTGTGCCCGTGCTGGAGGAACGCGGCGCGGTGTTTGCCCCGGAGCTCCTGCCCTTGTTGGCCCATGGTTCTCGGTACCGATGGGAATTTACAGCTCCTGCCCTTGTTGGCCCCTCGGGTCTCGGTACCGATGGGAATTTACAGCTCCTGCCCTTGTTGGCCCATGGATCTCGGTACCGATGGGAATTTACAGCTCCTGCCCTTGTTGGCCCATGGATCTCGGTGCCGATGGGAATTTACAGCTCCTGCCCTTGTTGGCCCCTCGGGTCTCGGTGTTCAGGCTCTGCTCTGGAGCTCCAGCCCTGCTGCAGGTGCAGCCCCGGCCCTTCCCGCCTTCCTCACACACGGCACATCTCGGTTCAAATCCTTACTGCCAATGTCCCTCACACAGCTTTGCTGAAAGGTTAAAATATCTCTCTAGCATTGCCTGAGACTGATGATACCTTTTTTCTCTCTCTTTTTCTTTTTTTTTTTATTTTTTTTTTCTAAAAAAGAAAATATTGCCTAAAGCAGTGGAAATACTTGAAATCTTCCTACTAATAACAGGCTATTTCAATGTGGTCCTTATTGCCTGACATAAAGAGAATTGCCTTTAACACTGGCTGTCTTAAAGCTATTGTAGTTCTGATCTATCAGTGTGATTTTATTTATTTATTTTACTTTTGGTTTTGTGTTTCATTCTGTTTGACCAGTGATCCTTGGCTAGTCAAGCTCTTATTTTTTTTATTTTATTTTATTGCTGTCTCTAGTCAGTGTCCCGTTTTGGTTTGGTTGTGTGAAGGTGGTGCTGGTGTTTGGTTTGTAATCTTGTAGGGCAGCGTGCAGGGAGGCTCATAAATCTGCAGCAGGGTTTGGTGGCTTTTTTTTTTTTTCCCCTCCTTTTTTTTGTGTGTGTGTGTGTCTCTTGTTTTACTTTCAGAGCAATAACTTAACTTTTGTCCTTGCTCTGTTGAGCAAAAGTGAAAGTTAGATGCTGGGCGCAAACTTCTGCAATCAGTTATCCTTTTTAACCTTTCATAGCTGTAGATTCCTCATGCAGAGGAGGCTTGGTGAAAAATCAATCACCTCAAAAGATAAACGGGGAGCGATTGAAGCTTTCTCTTCTCTGAGTTAAACAATCATAACAGAAACGTTTGCTCCTGCAGCCACCTCCAGAAAAAGGCAGTTTAATTAAAATTACAGCCCACCCAGGGCCTTCAGCCGGGACCTGCTGTGCTCTCCAGGCTGGATGGGGAGCATGCCAGCCTGCTATTATTCCTGCAGATGCTCACGGAAGACGCTGAGGCAGAGGAGCAGGGGCGCTCTCCATAGCCCTGTCTCGGCACCATCCCAGTCTAGGTTTGAATTGTTGCCACCTTGAACACGCCGGGCTGTATTTGAAATTGTAACAAAAAGATGTGATTTCGCTCTCACCTGGTCCGTGGCAGGCAGGTGCAGGTTTATGGAGGAGCTTCTGGAACGTTCTGAACCCCCGTTAGCGGTGGGGTCTGGGCAGGCCAGCCCCTAGGGGGGGAAATACAGCCCGGCTCCTGTGCCTAAGCTTTAGCTGTGTGGGTTTCTCCCCCTTCCCCAGAACCTTTGCTCCTGAAGATGGTGAGTAGCCAGCCTAAGTACGATCTAATTCGGGAGGTTGGTCGTGGCAGTTATGGTGTGGTGTACGAAGCGCTCGTCAGGAGGACCTGTGCCCGCGTGGCCGTCAAAAAGATCCGGTGCCACGCTCCCGAGAACGTGGAACTGGCTCTGCGCGAGTTCTGGGCCCTTAGCAGTATCAAGAGCCAGCACCCCAACGTCATTCACCTGGAGGAGTGCATCTTGCAGAAAGATGGCATGGTGCAGAAGATGGCCCATGGCTCCAGCTCCTCCCTGTATCTGCAGGTACACGAGGCCGAGGGGACGGGGTGGAAGGAACTGGTGATGCTGAGCTGGGGGGAAGGAAGGAGGGGTTTGAGGCATCCTCAGCTAGGCCAGGGGATTGGCTGCATTGCTTGTCCCCGGAATGTAACAGAGATTTGTAAAAGAACCTGAGCAATCCCCTGGACCTTGGGTTTGAAGCTGGAGTCCCGTGGCTCCAGCTCCTCCCTGTGTCTGCAGGTACACGAGGCCGAGGGGATGGGGTGGAAGGAATTGGTGACAGTGAGCTGGGGGGAAGGAGGTGGAGCAGCCCCGGGGTTTGAGCCATGCTCAGCCAGGCCAGGGGATTGGCTGCATTGCTTGTCCCCAGAATGTAATAGAGAGCTTTAGAAACAAACTGAGCAATCCCCTGGATCTGGGGTTTGAAGCCGGAGTCCCATGGCTCCAGCTCCTCCCTGTGTCTGTAGGGACACGAGGCCAAGGGGATGGGGTGGAAGGAACTGGTGATGCTGAGCTGGGGGGAAGGAAGGAGGGGTTTGAGGCATCCTCAGCTAGGCCAGGGGATTGGCTGCATTGCTAACACCCAGAATTTAATAGAGAGCTTTAAAAAAAACCTCAGCAATCACCTGGATCTTGTGTTTGAAGCTGTGCTGCTCTGAAAGACCCCAGAATTTGTGTTTAATGCAAATCTGCTTTGATAAGTTGAGGAAGCCCTGCAGGTGAAGCCCAGGGGAGGTGCAGGCTGTGGAGCTCTTGGCAGGTGCAGGTTAAAGAGCACTCCTGTCCTGGGACAGAGCTTGGAGGAATTCCATCCTGGGTGCCTTGGAAATCAGTGTCTTGATTTATAGGAAGCCAGTGCTTAAAAAAATTCTTTCAGAAACCAGCATATATTGGTAGCACATAACGAGCTGGCTTTATTTTTTAATAAATAACTGTTAATCTCTTCAAAGAGTATAAATTAGGGAACACATATCACTCTGAAAGTGTCCTTTAAGTCTGCAGATGTGTATGTTTGAAGAATAAGTAGCTCTGGAAAGACATTGGAAGACAATGATTTGTCAAGAAGCAGCCCTAAGTGTAAATCACCCCTGGGCAGAAATCAGTGTTCCTGGTTTAGGAAGCCACAGCCTGCTCGGTGTTTGCTGTGTCCTCCCTGGTCAGCTGTTCTTATTTCAGTTTTCATTGCTACCCTGCCGTGCCAGAACCAGGATCCCTGGCTGTGCCAGCTCCCCGTGGCCCGGGAGCTGCTCCTGCCCTGTTTTCAGGGAAGGATTGGGCTAAACCAGCACTGGCCAGCTCAGGAGCCAGAGCCTTACCTTCCTGGTTTGCCGAGCTGCCAGGGAGGGCAGATGTGCAGGGAGGAGCTTTGAAGGCGCCGGGGTGGAGCTGAAGGTGGGGAGAGCTCCCAGCTCTGGCTGGGACGGTGGTGCTGGGGTGCAGCTGGCGCGGGGCTCGGGCCTGCCAGGTGCAAACAGCACGGATTTTGTTTTGCTGCTGCAGGAGGGAGGGCAAAGGGCAGAGCTGAGCTGCTGCCAGGGTCACTCTGGAGCAGCCTGGGCTGAGCCAAGGGCAGTCAGAGCCCCTCTGCTCTCCAGAGGATGGCACGGAGCTGAGGAGCCTGGGGAAGAGCTCTGGGCAGATTCCCAGCGCCAGCTGAACCAAATCTGTAGAGTTTGAGTCCTCAGTCTGCACTGTCTGCTGTGCTTTGCCACTGGCACAGATGTGAGGGGTGGATTTTGTTGTCTTGGCTCTCACAATATCTGCAAGGGCAGCTCCTGTGACTCTGTGTTAGTGCTCTCTTGGCAGGGGAGACTCCCTGCTCTCCTGAGATACTTTAATCTCACAGTTCCTGACTACAAACCCTAAAGAAGGCAGTTTTTAGCCCTAAAATAGATTTACTCTCTAAAGAAGATAGCTGTAAACTGCTACCATTTTTTTCTCTTGAAAAGGTCACTTTTTAAAAGCATTTCAAAATTCCTCTCTAGATATTAACACACCCCTTCATTTTTGAAAGCCAGTTTGATTTAGCATCCATTGGTTTACTACTAACAGAAATAATTGCAGGATTTTCCTTCCAGAGCCACCTCAGAGGAGCTGCAGAGGCAAATGCAGTTGTGTAAACAGGATTAGTAAAATGATTGCAGGTTTTGCTTTGCTTTCTGTGTGGAGCAGCTGTAAGAACTGGCTGTTCCTGAAAATACTCTGTGGATAATGATGGTGGGAAGGGTGTTCCGTGCTCAGCTGTGCCTGCAGATCAGTGCTCTCCTGAGTTCAGGATCCTGTGTGAACTTGCTGGAATTCATGGATGTGTCAGGAATGGAGAGCAGGCTTTAAGAATCTCTCCTGGATAAATGCAGCAGTGCGGAGTCACTTGTGAGACTTTGTTTATCCCGAAAAGCTGTTGGCAAAGTGGGTGGGACAGGCTTTGTCTGGGTGGGACACTGTCCAGCTGGGACAGATGGGAGGGCAATGGCCACTGGGTATCTTTAAAAACTCTGTTATCAGGGTCGAGCTCTGCTTCTGGGCAGGAGCCAGAGCTTGATACGCTCCACACGAGGGAAGATAAGGAAGCTGGCAAATACATTGTGATTTTGTTTTTTTTCTCTTTTGCATAAAAACATTTGCATCGTGTTTTCTTTCCCCCTTGCAGTACCTTGCTCTCTGGATTGTTGAGAGGAGGGTCAAACAGAGTGGTCTGGGTTGGAAGGGATCTTATAAACCCCATCTCATTCCTGTGCGCAGGGACACCTTCCACTGTCCCAGGCTGCTCCAGCCTGGCCTTGGGCACTTGCAGGGGTCCAGGGGCAGGCACAGCTTCTGTGGGCAGCCTGTGCCCTCACCAGCCCCTCAGGGAACAATTCCTTCTGTGTAACTAACCCAAATTTCCCCTCTCTGTGAGGATCCTGATTTCATGCATTTTTCCATCGACTCCTTTCCTTCCCACCATCACCAGGTACTCACATCACCTCTTCCCCTCGTTGCAGCTCGTGGAAACCTCATTAAAAGGAGAAATAGCCTTTGACCCCAGAAGTGCTTACTACCTGTGGTTCGTGATGGATTTCTGCGACGGCGGCGACATGAACGAGTACCTGCTGTCCCGCAAGCCCAGCCGCAAGACCAACACCAGCTTCATGCTGCAGCTCAGCAGCGCCCTGGCCTTCCTGCACAAGAACCAGATCATCCACCGCGACCTCAAGCCCGACAACATCCTCATCTCGCAGGGCCGCGCGCCCGCCGAGCCCACGCTGAAGGTGGCGGATTTCGGGCTGAGCAAGGTGTGCTCGGCCTCGGGCCACAGCGCCGAGGAGCCCGTCAACGTCAACAAGTGCTTCCTGTCCACCGCCTGCGGCACCGACTTCTACATGGCCCCCGAGGTCTGGGAGGGCCACTACACGGCCAAGGCCGACATCTTCGCCCTGGGCATCATCATCTGGGCCATGCTGGAGAGGATCACCTTCGTGGACACCGAGACCAAGAAGGAGCTGCTGGGCAGCTACGTCAGGCAGGGCACGGCCATCGTGCCCGTGGGCGAGGCGCTGCTGGAGAACCCCAAGATGGAGCTGCTCATCCCCGTCAAGAAGAAGTCCATGAACGCCAGGATGAAGCAGCTGATCAAGGAGATGCTGGCGGCCAACCCGCAGGACCGGCCCGACGCCTTCGAGCTGGAGCTGAGACTGGTGAACATCGCCTTCAAGGACAGCAGCTGGGACACGTGAGGGGCTGAGCCCCGGCTCACCTGCAGGGGGTGCTCAGCCCCTCGCTCGCTGGAGATTCCCGGCAGGAACGTGGAGTTGGCCGCGGTCTGAAATCCCGGGTGAGGCTGAGGGTGTTCCTCGGGCTGCGCTGGCACGGGGATGTGGCAGGAGCCAACACTACTTGATTTCCAGCACTCTGTCACGGAGTGTCTCACACATTCCAGTTTCCTATGGCAGTATTAGGAACTCTCATGGAAAAAAAGAAAAAAGAAGAAAAAAAAAAAAGGTTTGCATGCTGGCAGTGCAAATCTTGAGACTTTGTGATGTAGTCTGTGTATATATTTATGTATATGAGTGACTGGGAGTGTGTGGCACTTAAATTATTTGCTGTGGGTCTGGATGATTGGGGTCTGCTAGAAATCTGGGTGAAGAAAGTGAGTGAGAAAATCTCCTTCTTCCCCAGGCTTGAATGACTTCATTATTTATTTTTGTTATCTAATTTCAAAGACTTGACTTTGTAAACAAAAAAAGCAATGCAAGGGGATCAGCTGCTTTCCAAGTGCTAACGTGGCTGGTCTTGGCACTTAGAGCTTAACGAGCTCGTCACTGAGGGAGTCAAATGAGAAATGTACAGTCAGGTGCTGGCAGGGGGGCTGGCTCACTGATCACTTGATTTGGCTTTTATTAATCAATTAATTAATCTGCCTTTTCTCAGCATGCTCTCTGCCCTGGTGTCCATACTCCCACAGCACCTTGAGGATTTATCACAGCAGAGTTGTGTGCCCTCAGTTTGTGGAAACGTGGATGAGGGAATCCAGCAGCACCTTCTCAAAATCCTTCTAAACGTGGTGGCAGCAGTTTTCCCACCAGCTGAGTCCAGCTGATAACCCAGTGGTCATGGCCTTTCCTCTGTGGCCCTGCCCCAGACCCAGTGGGATGAGGAGGTGGCTCTGTCCCTGCTCACACCTGCTGGCAGAGAGCTCAGGTACGGGAAGGGCAGCAGCCTGAGCTGGTTTTGTGTTTCATTTTTCCTCCTTTTAAAGAAGTGATCTTTATTTGCAGGCAGAGATGGGAGGAGGGGGTTTGGAGCAGGGGGAGCTGCTGGTGCCCAGCTCTGCTGCTGCTGGGACAGGATCCACTGGGGCCCTGGCACTGCAGGGCTGGCAGCAGCTCTGTCCCAGCACAGCCCTTTGGGGCAGGGCTGGCCTCTCCCATCCACTCTGACCTTTTGGGAAAAAGCAGAATCTTAACATTGCCTTTCAAGCTGCAGGAAAGGCTGGTTTTCTTTACAAAATTGAATTTGATTTCCCCCCCCCCCCCCACCCACCCAAATCTTACCTGGAAATGGCTGTAAGTATTTCCTTGTACAATTTGCTTTTTGAAATCCGTTCCCTCTTGGTGTTGGGACAGCAGTTCTGGGCACTCAGTGTTTATTTTCTGAGTGCAAATAAACAAAATGTTATTTTTTGGTTTTCCAAAAGCAAAGGATTCTGATTCCACCCAACTTCTGAGGCTTTACAGGCCGCAGGTGGCTCTTACCTGGTGCTGTGTGAGCTGGTGGCGGTCCCCAGCTGGCCTTAGTTTGTAACTCTTGTTATTTCCTTTCACTTCATCCTTTTAGGGAGTGATCCTCAGACAAACACACTTTGCTTGTGCCAACTCTGCCTCCCAGTTCCCACATCTCAGCAGGGTGAGAAAAGGGGGTTTGTAATTCACATTAAACTTGGGAGCTTTTTAAAAACAAAGGGGTGAGCATCCCCCTCCCTTACCCAGCCAGAATAACAGAATAACAGAACCAGAATTAGCACTGCTCCCCTCTGAGGTGCTCTGTGAATCACCTGGGTCCCCTCTGCAGGCTCCACTGCCTGCAGGGCAGAAATCAGGGGCTGGCACAGGGAAGTTTTGGGGTTTTTGACTCCCAAAGTGTTTCTTTGCACTGATTGCCACTTTATAGGTTGGGGGTACCTGAAATCCCTCTCATGGTGCTTATCCTCGCCGTTGGGTGACACTGGTAGTCCTCGAGCTCTGTGTTCTCTTTGATTTTTGTTGTCTGAGGTCTTTTGTTTTGAGAAAATAAATCAAGTTGTTGTAGCAGCTGCGGGGCCGTTCACCAGCCTGACGTGAAGTCAAGACACTTTTCAGCACTTGGGAAAGATTTTTGGTTTTTTTCCATGTTTTTCTTTGAAAACTGTAAAATATATTTTATGGAGAATTTATAATGAGGAAAATTATTGTGTAATTTATTAAGTTCATGACTGTTTTTGAAATAAAACCTTGAATTTCGATGAGGTTTTAGGACTTGATGGGGAAGTGCTCTCAGTGAGTGCAGTGTCAGTGCTGCCCTCCAGGGACAGCGTCCTGCTGTTCCCACACGCCCTGAGAAGCCTTGGGAGCCGAGGTGAGGAAACGTCATTACTTACCCATGGCAGGAAGGCGTGGCCCTCATTTGCATGATTTAATTAGCAGCGCTCTGGACAGAGGGACCTGCGGACTGGAAATGCCGTGAGTTGGGTTTCTCTTGGAATTTCTTACACCCACAGGAAACCCAGCCCTGTGCCCCGTGGGTTCCTGTGCCAGGAATTCCCACCTGGAATGGGCACGTGCCCACCTGGCTGGAGCCTTGTGCTTGGGTCAGTGCAGTTTGGGCTTAGATTCGTTTTTTTGGGGGGGTTAAAGACCTGTAGTAAAGGAAAAAGTCCCACTTTTGGGTTGGTTTTAAGAGTGGTGATTTTAAATAGAACACAAGCTGAATTCCTTCCCCAGAAAATGAAGAAAAGTAAACCTGAGATTATATATATATATATATATACATTATATATATATCCACACACACACATATATGTATATATAATATATATTATATATATGCTGTACTTCAAATATATTTAGCCCCTCAGGAGGGCGGGGAAGCCTGCAGGGAAATGCCCTGGTGCAGAAATGAGATATAATTAAAGCTCATTGGGCTGGGAGAGCCCAGCCCCAGAGGTTCGGGCCCCAGCCTGCCCCTCCCCGTTCCCAGGGCTGGGACTTGCTGTGTTGGTGCTTTTGCTTTGTTTTGGTCCAACCAGAGCTCGGTTTTGGTTTGTTTTGGTCCAACCAGAGCTTCCCTGGGGCTGTGTGGGCGAGGCAGAGCCCTTGGGAGCTTGCTTGGCTTCTCCCCTCCTTGGGGCACAACCAGCCCGGGGTTTTGGGGCTCTCCCCTTTCTCACAGCCCCTGGGACATCCCTGGCTCCTGGTTTGGGTCCCTCCAGGTGCTTTGGGGACAGAAGGGACTGGCCCAGGGCAGCCAGTGAGGACATTCACACACCAGCCTCAGTGGGCTGGGTGCTGCTGCCAGGGGCAGCCAAGGAAATCTCTGTGCTGCAGCCCGGTAAGGGCACAGGGATGTGCCTGGGATGCCACAAACCACCCCGAGTGCCTGAGCTGCTGCAGGTGCTGCCCAGGAGCTCTGGAAGGGTTTGGAGAAATCTGAAACCCCATTTTTAGGAGCAGGGAGGTGTCAAGTGACCACTGCTGGAAGAGGAGCTGAGCCTGGGCTGATCTTGTTCGTTCCAGAGGCTCCTTCACCCTCAGGTTTGGGATGGAACCAGATGCAACCTAAAAACCTTTGCAGTAGTGCTGGGCTCAGGCCTCCATCCTGACCCTGGGCTGGTTCCCTCAGCCCCGGGATCTCCTCCTGTCCCTGTCCTGGCCCTGTCCTGGCTGTCCCTGTGTCCCAGCCCTGCCCTGCCGCGGCTTTGGAGCCTTTTGGGGTTGGAGCAGCCCCGGGGCGCTCCCGTCCCGCCCTGCCCCGGCACGCTCGGCTGGGGCGCTGCTCTCAGGTTTATTCGTGCCCCTTTGAACCCTGGAGGTTTTTAAACTCGTCGGACGAGCCTCCCACGCCCGGTGGCGTTCGCCTTTCCCCTGAGGATCCAGGGGCAGATCCCAGAGCTGCCGAGGGTTTCTCCATCCCTTGGCCCGATCCTGTTCCCTGTCCTCCACCGCATTTGCTGCAGTGCAGCCGCACCGAGTGCTGCCTGCCGTGCTGCTCTCCAGGTTTATTACAGAGCTGGTCTGTCCCTTCCTCGCTGTCACTGGGGCTTTTTTCCAGCCCGCAGAGCTCAAACAAGGCCTGGCCCCTCTCACCCTGCCCAGGTTCCATCTCAGCCCCCGTTTTCCCGCACAGGAGTCCTGGCCCCAGCCCCTTCCTGCCCCGCTGTCATCGGCCGGGAAGGTGCCGGGCACAGCCCCAGGCCCCGTTCCCGGCAGCTCCTCAGGAAGGAACTGGGCTGGGGACGGAGAGCTCGGGACAGAGCCCCCCTCCTGCCGGGGCTTTGTCACCCTGAGCCCCCTCGGTCGCTGTGATCAGCCCGGCTGCGCCCCAGCTCTGCCCCAAGCCAGGGGGTGCAGGGGGCTCGGGCTCCTCTCCGAGGGCCCGGGAGCCCAGCCCGGGGGGCAGCGGCTCCTTCCTTGCCCTTTGCTCCAGTGCCACGTTCGCAGCCCCCCGGGCTGGAGCTGGGCATGGAGGGGGCCGGGATTGTCCCTGTGGGAGCACTCGGCCCTCGGGAAGGGAAGAGGGCAGTGGTAAAAATAACCCCTGGGCCAGCTCCAGCCCATTGTGGCTTCCTGCGATTTACAGCCCTTCCCGGGGGGAAGAGGCAGGAACGGCCGGCTCGGGGCTGGCTTTGACCCTTTCACCGCCAGGACCTTTCCTCCTCCTCCCCACCTGGGTGGGATCCTGGGGAGGGGACTGAGGTGGGCTCCTGCTCCTGAGCTGCCCCCACACCCTGGGGTGGGTGTAGAAGGAGGAGCTGCTGGAGGGGACGCGGCTTCCCTGCCCCATTCCTGACCTGCCCTGTGCAGGGGGACAGAGACTGGAGGCAAAAATCGCTGCTGCAGATCCCGAAAGGCCGGCGGGGTTCCCGTAAGGAAGCGGAGGGAGGAGAGGAGCAGAGGCGAGCTGGAGCTGCGGGAGGAGAGGGGTTAATGCTGGCCAGGGTCAGCACGGGTGGGCTCCTGCCGCGGGGCTGGGCTGGCACGGGTTAATGGGTGGCTCTTCCTCTTCCTCATCCTCTCTATATGAGGCTGCTCCCGGCTCTGGGCTCAGTTTGCCGCAGGAGCTGCGTGAGACTGGAGCATCCCATCCCTGCATCCCATCCCTGCATCCCTGCGAGGGCTCAGGTGAGTGAGAGCATCCCCCACCTGCCTGGCTCGGGTCCGGGCCGCGGGGCTGGGCTGGGGAGGGTGACGGTCCCAGCCGGGACCAGCACAGGGCCAAACACTCCGCGTGCCTCAGTTTCCCTGTGTGTACTCGGCCTGGGTGCGGTGTGGAGCCCGTGGGCTGCGTGTGGAGCTGCGTGGCTGAGGCTCCCTGGGCTGTTTGCTCCCGTGAGCTCTGCTCGGTCCGGCCCCGTGTCCCCGCTCTCCCCCAGGGCTGGTTCCGTGTCCCCGCTGTCCCCCAGAGCTGGTTCCGTGTCCCTGCTGTCCCCCAGGGCCGGTTCCGTGCCCTCCGCACACGGAGGAAGGCGAATCTTCCCTCCCAGCCCAGGCCGGCTGTGGGGGGCACGGCTCGGGGACCCCCCGGCCCCGGGGCAGCGCTCGGCTTTGTTCCGCCGCTCGGGCAGACAAGGCGGCGGCCGGCTCCGGTATTTTTTCCTGTTGGAAGCCGCTCCTGGGATGCGGCCGAAGCCGGCGGATGCTCGGCGCTTCTCCCTTCCTGCCCGGGGCTGTTCTGCCCGCGCTGCCAGGACTCGCTGTCCGTGTGGCATTGAGGGGACCCTCAGCTCTGCTTCAGCCCCATCCTCCTCCTCCTCACCGCTGCACTCTCGGGCTGACCCTGACTCTCCTCTCTCCCAGATCCAGGAGCCGAGCGGAGCCCCAGGAGCTTCCTGAGCGGCCCCACCAGCCCTGCCCGGCCGCTCCGCAGGGCGCAGAGCGATCGGCAGAGATCGGCAGCGATCGGCAGCGATCAGCAGCGATCAGCAGCGATCGGCAGGGATAGGCAGAGATCAGCAGCGATCGGCAGCGATCAGCAGCGCCGTTCTGATCAGCAGCGCCGTTCCGGGGCCATGGTGCCCTTGGGCAGCCCCACTCTCGCCGTGTGCGCCTCCAGCAACCTGCGCCTCATGGCCCCGGGCCGCGGCTCGCCGCTGGCCTGGCTGAACCGGGGCCCCGAGTGCCCGGGGGGCAGCGGGGGCCGCAGGGCCAGCGCCGTGGAGCGCCTGGAGGCCGACAAGGCCAAGTACGTGAAGTCGCAGCAGGTGATCAGCCGGCGGCAGGAGCCGGCGCTGCGGGGCTCGCCGCGCCTCTCCCCGCACGGGCGGCGCCGCCTGGCCCGGGGGCAGTGCGGGGAGCTGGGCCCGGAGCTGCCGTGCCCCCCGTCCCCGGTGTCCCGCCGCAGCGGCAGCCGCCGCCTGCTCAGACCCGACTCGCTCATCATCTACCGGCAGAAACGGGACTGCCTGGGCGGCGACAAGGAGAACGCCAAGGGCTCGGGGCTGGTGCGGCGCCTCTTCCAGGGACCCCTGAGGGCCAGCCCGCCCAGCTCGCCCCCCGCCCGCAGCCCCGAGACCCCCATGCTGTGGGCGCCCGCCGAGAAGGAGGAGGCGCGGACACCGGGAGGGGACGGCAGCGGTGACAGCGGCGGTGACAGCGGCGGTGACAGCGGCGGCATCCCGGCCGTGCCCGCCGAGCAGCCGCCCGGTGCCCCCGGGAAGGAGCCGCTGGCTCTGCGCGTGTCGCTGCCGCTGTCGGAGCAGGAGCGCTTCTTCAACTACTGCGGGCTGGACCGGGCGCTGGTGGAGCTGCTGGGCCGGGAGCGCTTCGGGCCCGCGGGCTGGGACAGCGGCTCGGCCCGGGCCGGCTCCGGCGAGTCCGAGCCCGGGCGGGCCTCGGGGGGCAGCGAGGGGGACGCGGGGCCGGGCGAGGAGGAGCCGGACGCCCGGGCGGGCTCCGCCGTCTCGGTGGTGGAGCGCAACGCCCGCGTCATCAAGTGGCTCTACGGCTGCCAGAGAGCCTGGGCGGCTGCCAGGGAGTCCACGGTGTGAGCGGGACAGCCCGGCCGGGACCGGGACACCCGCGGGGCTCCCGCTGGCCGGACCGGGCCCCGAGCCCCCGCGGGATGTGGCCCAGGGGCTGGGGGCACCCCTGGCTCTGCTGGCACCCCTGGCCCCGGTGCCGTGGGGATGCTGCGGGCTGGGAGAGCTGCCAGGTGCACAGGCTGAGTGTGGTGGGGGCACCTGAGGGCAGGTGAGGAAGGGCCATGCCCGGGGCCTCAGGGCTGGCAGGCTGCTGTCCCCCTGCTGTCCCGCTGCTGTCCCCCACCTTCTCCCTGTCCCCAGCCCAGGAGGGTGGCACAGGCCCGCAGCCCCCACTGACCACCCAAATCCTGCTCCAGCTGCAGGGTGGGCGTGGGCAGAGCCTGAGCCCCCTCCCGTGGGCAGTGCCCACCCCTCAGCCCCTCCTCCCCAGAACAGGCGCTGCTGGGGCCAGAGCTGCCCTCAATAAATCTGTTTGGGGTTGTTTTCTAGCCTGGCATGTGTGTGTGTGGCTGTGGGGGATGCCCCAGGGCTGGGGGGCAGCTCCCCCTCCCCACCCTTGGGGCTGAGCTGCTTCAATGGGGCTGTTGGGGGGCGAGGGAAGGAAAGTAGCAGGCAGAGCTCAGGGAAAAAGGGAATTTTGGGGTCTTTAGTGCAGCTGTGACACCCAAACCCAGGGCAGAGCCCTCGGGCACGGGCGGGGCGCTGCCCACCTGCAATGGGGGCCGCAAATAACTTGTGGCGAGTCCGGCTGCTGCACCCTCCTCTAGTTGCCCTTGGGGGCGGTTTTATTGCGGATTTCGGCCAGTTTGCCGGCCAGGAAGCCCCAGTGGAAGGCCCCTTCCTCCGGCTCCCGCAGGTCGCTGCCGTCGTCACCCGGCGGCTCCCCCGGGCTCTCGTCCGGCTCCGGGGGCGGCCCCGCCTTGTCCGGCCCCGCCGCCTGCTGCCACTTGGTAGCGAAGAGATCCCAAAACCCGGGGGCCTTCTCGCTGTGGGGCGGCTCGGGCGGCTCGGGCGGCTCGGCGGCCAGAGGGCTGGGGGGAGAGAGCGGGGACGGAAATGTCGGGGCAGGGACCCGGGACCTCCCCCCAGCCCACCGTGCCCCGTCCGTGCCCGCTGTCCCCCCGCGGGTGCGGGCCGGGCAGGGGGATGCAGGTGATGGGGTGTGGGGGGCTCGGATGCGGGTTCTGGGGTCCCCCCCAGCGATCTGTAACTCACTGGTCCGGGCAGGGCTCCGGGCTGAGCAGCTGGTGCTCGTCCTCGCGGGTGAAGAGGGACGAAAGCGTCCGCCAGCCGCGGGCCCCGACCCCCTGCACCTGCGGGGGGCAGCGCCGGGGTCACCGGGAGCTCCGGCCGCCGGTGTCCCCCCCGCCCCGCTGCCCCAGCCCCTCCTCACCTTGCGGGCCAGCTGGGACACGGGGCTGGCTCCCTCCTCCAGCAGCGCGGGGGGCTCGGCCGTCTCCATCAGCTCGGGGGGGTCTCCCTGCAATGAAGCCCCCGGTGAGGGCGCGGCTGCGGGCGGGCGGGCGGGGGGGGACAGGGAGGTTGGGCGGCCCCTTTTGGGGACCCCACAGCGTACCTCGTCCTGCAGGGCCCCGTCGGGGCGCGGCGCCCCCAGGGTCTGCAGCACCTTGGCCTTGTAGAGCCGCCAGAAGCCCTGGGCCATGGCGAGGGGCTCGGCGGGGCCGCAGCCGGCGGCAGCCGCGGGCAGCGGGGCGGGCCGGACGGGCGATCCGGTGGCTTCATTAAAGTTTCAGCGGCCACTTGCTCCGCACAAAAGGAATCTGAGCCCGGGCCGAGCCGGGGGCAGCGCGGGGGCGGCTCCTCCGGTCACCCCCAAATCCCATCCCGAGCCCCCCGCCCCAGCCCCCCGCTGCCCCTCGCCCACTTGGGACCCCCAGGGCTGGGATACCCGCCCATGGTGCAGAGGAGGCGCCGGAGCTCCGCGCTCCCCCCGCCGCGGGTCCCCATCTATAATTGATCACGGGGGAAACACGATCGGCGGCGGGACACGGCGGGACACGCTGAGCCCTGCCCCGCTCATGGCAGCGGTGACCGGGGCAGCGCGGGGGCACGGGGGACACGGCGGCAGAGCGGGCACGGTGGCAGCGGAGCTGGGGGGGCGCCGGGACCGCCCCGGGACCGTCCCGGGACGGGGGACACCGGGCTGGGGGCGGGGCCTGGAGGGTCTGGGCGTGGCTTCACACGGATGGGCGCGGCCATCAACAGCGCTCTCAATGTGTGGGGGGGGCGAGCGGCTGTGGGGGCGTGTCCCGCAGCCCCGCGCCTGCGCAGTGCGGCGCACCGCGGCGTGCGGCCGCCATGTCGCCGCGGAACGGGCGGCGCACCGGGGCGCACCGCGCGCACTCGCTCGCCCGGCAGCTCAAGACCAAGCGGCGCCGGCGCGACCTGGACGAGATCCACGCGGACCTGAAGCCCGAGAACGCCGCGCGACTGCTGCGGCAGGAGATCGACCCCGACCTGCCCGGCTGCGCGCAGTTCTACTGCCTGCACTGCGCGTGCGTGCGGCGGGGAACCGGGGGGATACCGGGGGGATCCGGGGGGATCCCGGGGAGTCGCGGGTTCCCGGGGGAGGTGCGGGAGTTGTCCCGGTCCCTGAGGTTCCCGGGATGGGGTCCCGGGAGAGTCCCTGGGAGGGGGCGATCAGGCTCTGGGGGTCCCTGTCCCCTGGAGGGGCTGCTCAGACCCTGGCGGTCCCTGTCCCCTCGGAGGTTGGTTCCGGGGGTCCCTGTCCCCCTCTAACCCCTGGGGGAGCATCTTGTCCTGGTCTCAGGGTGACCCCAGGCCCGTGCAGGGCTGTGGTGGGACCCTTGCCCCTCGGCAGGACCCCCCCCAGCCCCCCTGCAGTCTCGGGGTCCCCCTGACCCCCATCCTTTCCCACCCCAGGCGTTACTTCGTGGACCTGAACAGCATGAAGGAGCACTTCAGATCCAAGGTGCACAAGAAGAGGTGAGGGGGGGGGGGCAGACCCAAATTCCCCAGGGTGAGGGGGTGGCAGGGGCAGCTCTGGGCAGGTGCAATCTCACCCCCGTGTGCCCCCAGGCTGAAGCAGCTGCGAGAGGCTCCGTACACGCAGGAGGAGGCTGAGCGTGCTGCTGGGATGGGCTCCTACGTCCCCCCAAAGAAGGTGGAGGTGCAGACCCAGCCCCTGGAGGAGGTCACCGAGATGGAGACGTCGGGCTGAGCACAGACGCCTTTGTCCTCAGCTTTGTGACAAAAACGTGTCCCAGCTCTGCCAGCCAAATCCACCCTGCTCCTCCCACAGCCCCCCTGGCCAGGGCACTGATGAGGAGCAGGAGCCAGCAGGAGCCTGGGTGCCCTCCCCGAGCGTCCTCCTTCTCCAGGAAGGGACACATTCATTCCTTGTTCTCTGAGTGCTGCTGGGACTGCACGCTTGTCTGCCTGCTTTTGGAGCAGGTTCTGCTCTGTCCATGGCTCAGAGGTTATTCCAGTGATGCACCCATTAAAATTTGTCAACTGACAGTGTGGCAGTGTTGAGTATGAGGGTGACAGTCCCCCCCAAGGGTGAGGGGACACCTCAGTGTTGTTCTCTTCCCCATTACCCAAAGGTGCCCGTGCCAGGAGCTTCATCCTGGAACTCTTGCCTGGCAGGGCGGTAAAAGTCCCTCTGCCCTGGCAGCTTTTTGTGGGGAATGTGAGCTTGAGTCACCTCTGCATGGAGCACTTGGGTTTGCAGCTGGTTTGGCCTTTGAGAGGGCAGCGCTGGTGTCCCCTTGGTGAGGACACTTTGAGGTTCCTGACCCCAAAAACTCAACTCCTGCAAGTGATTTCATGCTCCTGGCAGGCTGCAAGGTGATCAGCCTCCCTGCCTGGCATCTGCCACGGTGCCCCTGAGGGGACACTGAGCAACAATGCCACCGAATTCCTGACAATTGCCACCGAATTCCTGCAGAGTTCGTGTCCCCGTTCAGTTCATCCCTCCTGCCCAGCTGGGGACTGGGAACGTGCTGGGAATGCAGACAGAGCAGTGACACGGCTGTGCTGGGGCACACAGAGCAGTGACAGAGCAGTGACACGGCTGTGCTGGGGCACACAGAGCAGTGACAGAGCAGTGACACGGCCGTGCTGGGGCACACAGAGCAGTGACAGAGCAGTGACACGGCTGTGCTGGCTAAGGAAGGGTTTATTTCCACGCAGCCTGCCCGGATTTGTCCCCGAGGCTCCGAGGGAGGGAGGGAGGGAGAGCCAGAGCTCTGCGGGGGCTGGGGAGGCTGTGGGATGCGCCCGCCCAGGGACAGGGGAGGGGATGTGCCCAGGGACACGGATGTGGTGTCCCTGCCCAGGGTCACGTCACCGCCCCTGTCCCCCCTGCCCGTTATCTAACGCGGCGCTGGCCTCATTCCTGCGGGGCCGCGGCCACCGCGGTTCCCATGGGGACAGAGGGGCTCTGTGGCCACCACCGGGGTCCCCAGCCCCCTCTGCTCCCGCGGGGGATGGGGATGGATGCAGCTCCCGGCTCTGCCGTCCCTCTGTCTGTCCGTCCAGCCTCTGCTCTGGTGCTCTGATCCCGCTGTCCCTCCGTGGCTCGGGCCGGGCTCCGCCGGCAGCTCCGGAGCTGGGAGCGGCTTCTCCGTTCTGCATCCCGGCTGCCCAAGGCGGGGACAGGCGGGGACAGGCGGGGACCGGCGTGTCCCCCATGCCCGGGGCACCCATGGCAGTGGGAAGGGCTGGATGTGGCGCAGGTCAGCTGCAGAGCTGGGGCGGGTGGAGGGGACCCCAGCAAGCACCGCCGGGGACCGTCCCCAGGGCCTGAACACACACGGGGACCGTCCCCAGGGCCCCGACACCCCCGGGACCCGTCCCCAGGGCCCCCCAGCGCCTCGTCACGGCTCCGGGGGGGCCTTGCCAGGGTCAGCCATTCTCCGGGCGCTGTAGAGGGACAGGCAGAGCCCGGCGGCCGCCAGCAGCAGGGCCAGGGGGGTCAGCAGCCGCCCCCCCGGCTCAGCCTCACGTCCCGCTGCCAGCTGCATCTGTGGGGACACAGAGGGCACAGGGCAGCACGAGAATACCCCAAAGCCCCGGGCACACGGGCCCGGGGCTGTGCCCTGAACGGCCCCATCACACTGGGGGTGTAAAGGCGATGGGAACAGCTTTGTGCCCCTCTGGCCGTCTCAGGGGGGGTTTTAGGGTGCCCCCTGCAGCACTTGTGGGCCCCCATCGGCAGCATCGTCACCGCCAGTGTGGAGCCGGGCTGGAGCTGGGCACGGCTGCCATGGCAGGCCTGGTGGGCAGCGAGGGCAGCCAGGGCAGCAGCACCCGGGGCTCCCCGCGGCTCCGCCGGCCCTGCTCGCCCCTTACCTGCAGCAGTCTGAAGTAGCCCGGGGTCAGGCGGCGGGGGCGGATGATCATGGCGAGCGGCACCGGGCCCGTGGGAGCAGCGGGGCTGGGCTGGGACCCCCCGGTCCCGGCGGGGGCTCCGTGCGTGCCGGCGGCCCCGGGCAGGGCGCGGAGCAGCCGCTGTCAGCCGCGATCAGCGCCCGCTGCTCCCCGGAGCGGACACGGCGGGCGGGGGGGCCAGCCCAGCCCAGCCCGGATCTGGGGGGGCTGAGGGGCTGGGCTTAACCACGGACGAGCCCCTCTGCAGGCCGGAACGGGGCTGCCTCAGTTTCCCCACCTGTAAAGGGGTGTGAGTTATGACTTGGGCGGGGGGTGACACCCCAAAAACTCCAGGGCTGAGCAGGGGCTTCCCTCCGGTTCTGCTGGGCGTCTCTGTGGCCTAACTTTGCACCCACAGGGCTCCTGGGGTGTCCCACTGGTGTCACAGGGCTCCTGTGGTGTCCCACTGGTGTGACAAGTGCTGTCGGCCCTCAGCCCTGGCTGGGGGTGACACCGGCTGCCATTTCCCGGGGTTCCAGCGGCCGTGTGTCACCGCCCGGGCTGTGACTCACTGCGGCCTCGCCCCACGGCAGCGTCCGGGGCAGGCGGGCCCGGCGCTGAGCGGCACCGGGGAGCGCCAATGGGGCTGCGGCTGCCGGCGCAGGTGAGACCGCGCCCGGCGCAGGTGAGAGCCGCGCCCGCCCCGCCGCCGTTCCGGTCCCCGCAGCTCCTGCCCCGCCGCCGTTCCGGTCCCCGCCGTTCCTGCCCCGCTGTTCCTGCCCCGCCGCCGCTCCTGCCCCGCCGCCCCCATGGAGCCCCCGCGCTCCTGGGGCCCCGCACAAGCGGCCGCCTGGCTCCGAGGTGAGTCCCGGCTGTCCTCGGGCTCTGGGGTGGGGTGTCCCCAGCCTGGGGACATGGGGCAGGGGGTGGCGATGCTTCCCGTTCCTGTTCTCCTGCCCGGAGGGGCATTCCCGGGTGGGGTCCGGCCGTTCCCACCCTTTCGGCCGAGGCCGGGCGAGCTCGGTGCATGGAGAGGACCCTGGCAGCAACCAGGGGTCACCCCTGGGGTCACCCGGCCTGGGGTGGTCACCCGGCCTGGGGACACTGCCAGGGGGCACTGCCAGGCTGGTCTGTGCAGGGCTGGACGCGGCGGTGCAGGGGTACCCGTTCGAGGCCTGGGGGCTCTCGGGGCCCGAGCTGCTGGGGCTGGAGCCGGGGCTCCTGGAGGCTCTGGGCGTGCAGCCCGTGGGACACCAGGAGCTGCTGCTGGAGGCCGTGGAGCAGCTCCGGAACCTGGTGAGTGCTGGGATCCCGGGGAGGAGCAGGGGCACGTGGGGGTCCCCTGGGCTGAAGGACGAGGATTGGGGGTCACCCCGGGCTGGGTGGAAGGGGGCAGATGGAAGTGGGGACACAGGGACACCCTGACTCGGTGGAGAGGGGTTCTGAGCTGGGCAGAGGGAAGGACATGGGGACACCGTGGGCTGGGTGAAGGTGACACCCCGAATGCCACCCTGCCTGTCCACCCCCTGTCCACCCCCTGTCCCCCCAGGACACAGGGCTGGCGAGCACCAGCCTGCGGACGCTGACAGAGAGGCTGCAGGAGCTGGCACAGGGCATCCAGAGCCTGGTGCAGGGGGGGCTGTGGGCAGGGGATGCCCCCCAGCCGCCCTCCCTCACCCTCCTGGCCCGAGTCATCGACCTGGTCGGGGCTGCCAAGGAACTCTTCTCCTGGCTCAACAGGTCTGGGGCAGGTGAGGGCACCGCTGGCTGCTGGGTGCCCCCGCTCTGGGGCTGAGCTCTCTCTTCCCCCAGGTACCTGTTCTCCACCCTCAATGACTTTTCTGCCAGCCGGGACATCATCCTGCTGTGTGCCCAGCTGGCAGAGACGCTGCAGGCGGTGAGTGCCTGCTCTCCTGACCCCAGGGCTCTGCTGAGGGGACATGGGGTGCAGGGGGCTCCCCACAGGGACCCCCCAGCTGGGATGGAGCCACCCCGTGGTGCTCACCCCCCATCCTGTCCCCCAGGACCTCCCTGCGGCCCAGAGGAGCAGCGGGATCCTGCAGATTGTGAGTGCTGGGTGAGGAGGGGGTGGCAGGCCCGGGGGGCTGCCAGGGCCCCCCTCACCCTCGCTGTCACCCCCAGTGCCAGCACATCGAGGGCATCTGTGAGAGCATCGTGGGCTGCAGCCCCCCGGCGCTGCTGGACCGCAGGGCTGTGCTGCAGAGCGTGGGGCTGGCGCTGCTCCCCGGCCCACAGGGCAGCCCCCCAGCGTCCCCCAGCACCCCAGCACTGCCCCTCGGCCTGTGGCAGAGCCCCCCAGCGTCCCCCAGCATGCCAGCGCTGCCCCCCAGCCAACGGAGCAGCCCCCCAGGATTCCCTGACACCCCAACACCGCCCTGTGATGTCCTGGGGAGCCCCCAGGCCCTGCTCAGCGCCCGGCTGGTGAGTGCCCTGCACCCCAGGGCCCCCCTCTGCCTCGGGACCCCCTGCTCAAACCCCACCTTGGCCCCCAGGGCTTTGAGATCACCTCCACCAGCTCCTGTCTGCACTTCGTGTCTGCCACCACCCCAGAGGTGAGTGAGGGGCCCTGTCCCCCCCTGCCCCTCAGTCACCCCCTCCCTTTTATGGCATCCAGATTAGGGCCCTGATCCCTGACCCAGAGCAGGGGGGGCTGCCTGTGGCTGAGCCCGTGCAGCTCATCCCACGAGTGAGCACAGCCTGGGCATGGGGAGCCCCCTCTGCACCCCAATCCCAGCAGCAGCTCCGGGGGCGCTGTGCAGTCGGGTTAAGGGTTAACCCCCCTGGTTCTCCCTGGCTGGGAGAGATCCTGAGTGGGATTAGCCTGGCAGGGAGGGAACAGGAGTGGGCACCCCACTGTCCCCTCTCATTCCCAGGCCCTGGCTGCCCACGGGGGCCACATCCTGCCCGGGGATGAGATCGTGCAGGTCAACGAGCAGGTGGTGGTGAGTGGGGACAGGGCTCCAGGGCTCCCTGCTGGGCCTGGCAGGGAGGGCTCAGGGAGTTCAGGGGCTCAGGTGGGGGATGCAGGAGTTATGAACAGCAACAAGCAGGAACCATGGCTGGGAAAGGGACAAAGGAGCCAGGAGGGTCTGGGGGATGTGGGATCTGTGGCTGGGGTGGGTTTG